CATAGTCTCAACATATCCTCAAAATTTCATGCGATTTGTATGTGCTTTGACCGAAATTCATGTTGACAAGTGTTAGAGATGATTTCGGGTGGATGGGTAATTTTTCAACCCACTATATATATATATAAATGCTGGTGATTCAGAATGAGAAAGAGAAAAGAACGAACAGGCAAGAAAAAAAACTCGTTTAGAGAAAAACATAAATGCTCGCTGATTTCGCTTGAAAATCAATTTTTGAAAAAATCTGCTGAAGGCTATAGAGTACCCATTTCTAAAATTTAATACCCAACACTCAATTTTTGACGCTCTTTCCAATGATATAATTCTTATCAACTCTGCACGGCATGAAAAATTTCGAGCCGGTTGATATGATCAGGAGCGGCGCGAGCGGGGGCATGGGGAAAGGAGACCTCCAGTTTTTGGAAATTTTGGTTTTTTTGCTCATCGATTTTCGAAAACTTCGGAAAAATTTACAAAGTTTTTCGAAAAATTTATAAAAACTTTTGCCTACTCTACCTCAAAATTTGAAGTTCGGTAGGTTTTTCACATTTCCTCCCATTTTTCGAAAATACCCCTCCCCTGCTTTGACCCCTTCGCGCCGCCCCTGGATATGATTATGGCGAGCTTGACAAAAAGAAAAAAAAATAATGTGTGAAAAGTTGTTGCATTTTTTTTGTTAAAACAAGTGAAGTTTACGCTAATTAATAACTATTATAATTGCTGTTTTGTTGCTCTTTCGTGTATAGATTTAGTGTTTTCACAATGCTATTACGATCTAAAAAACGTGTTGGTGATTGCAATAATGCCGCATCAAATACGTCCAACCAAAAATCGCGAGTATTGAAGAGAATTGTGATAGGTAAGTCTCCAAAAATGTACTTGGCAATTCGTAATTGACAATAAATATGTATTGTTTTAGGTAATGTTGAAATGGAAGTGGAAGTAGAAGAAGAAATTGAAGCAGAAGAAGAATTGAACGTAGAAGAAGTGGAAGTAGAAGAAGAAAGAGAAGAAGAAGAAGAAGAGGAAAAAGAAGAAGAAGAGGAAGAAGAGGAAGAAGAGGAAGAAGAAGAAGAGGAAGAAGAGGAAGAAGAAGAAGAGGAAGAAGAAAAAGAAGAAGAGGAAGAAGAAGAAAAAGAAGAGGATGATCGTACTGAACATCCGCTTGTTCAACCAATAAAAAGTAAGTTATTGATAATCATCAGTCTCATTTATTTTCAATCTGTTCATTTAGATCAAAGAGTTATTCCACATAAAGAGTTAGTTCCTGTTCCTGCTCCACGAGTCAAATCCAAAATAATAATTCAAACAGAAATACCACAATCGAAACCTCGATCGTGTCGAAGAATTATTACAGAAACGTAAGAAACTTTTTTTCGTTTATGAGAGATTGTTCCAACATAAATTTTCATTTGCATAGTGCTGATGTCAATTTACATCACTTAGTAGAATCTAAGAACACGACAAATAGAGAATTATCTATTCGTACGCGCCAAGTTTCACAGTCGAAAAGTGGTACTAGACGATCAAAATCACCAGTTGTGGTACCTATTCCTAAACCACGCTCGACACGCGCCAATAAAACAAAAAAGTAAAACTTATTTATACAATTTATTATGGAAATTCATGAGGCTATTCTTGCTTAGTGCCATAACATCAACTCAATCAATTCAAATAATATCAATATTGGAAAATCGTATCAGCAAGCATCCACGGGAAGCTATTGCTAGACGTGTTCTGTCGGAGTCAAGTAACCGAACCAAATTTAGTTTATAACCTCATGTAAATTACTCTGCTTTCTTTATTTAGAAGGAGATATTAATTTTGATCAATTACTAAAATCATTGAATGACTTAAGTGCTGAACCCAGAACAGGAAAATTACTGGTAAGCTAATCTTAGCTTTCTTTTTTTATGAGTTATGCAAATGTGTTTAATATCCGATTATTTTGTAGAAAACTCTTACTGAACGAGGCCCTGAAAAACCACGATTTTTAACTATTCGTGATTTTGAAGATGGCTCTCTTGAATGCGAGGTCGGCAAGAATAAACCAACAGTGTATGTACTTACCATATGTGTACCTCGTGCAACCTACAATCTCATGAAAGATAACTCAAAACTGGCAAAACTAGATATAATTAAGAACGCTTGGCTGGACGAAGAAAAACAAGTTTTCCACCTTTGCGGTAAGATTGGAGAAACTATGAACTTGCCACAACGGATCAAAAGTTACAAACAGAGTAAGAAAGGTATGTTGTGTGACATATTAATGATAATAGGGATGGCAAAAATATCAGTCACTCGCACTAATCACTTTTTCCATTCTGTCACTGATACACGTTATTCATTGGAGAGAATTAAGAAGCAAAAAATAAAATTCACGCATTTATTAGAAGAACGAAGGTGGATAAAATAGATGGCTATGACTTACCAGAGACAATTACGACTACAATATCTAAAACAAAACAATATGGATGGTCTGCAACTTGTAAGGGTTGTGAAGCTGTATCTGTGATTACTTATGTCAGTGAAAAAAATCCTAATGTTCTGATTAGGCCTCGGTGCTATAATGTATCGCAGCACAAAAACAAAAGGCGAATTTTTGTGAACGCGGACAATATTATAATACAGAAGTATGTAAGGTGCCCTGGGCGTTACGCTTAATTTTTTGTGATGATAATATAATGTATTCAATAAATAATGCAGTATATTCATTCTATATAAACATCAACTTATAGCTTTTTCTAATTTCTAAAAAGAAATTTTCGCTTCTACTATAGAACTTAAATAAGATTCTAAATGAATTCCAATTGAGAATGAAAAGTTTGTGATCAATGAAATTGTATAAAAAATTCGTTTTTCTTTTGTACATAATGAGTAAATGCAATTGATAGGCTGAAAAATGTTGGTGATAATTATTAACTTGATTATTTTGTGGTTGGCGGTAAAAATGTCGAAAGGAAAAATATCGAAAGGAAAAATATTGAAAGGAAAAATGGCGAAAGAGCGAAGAGGAAAAATATCGAAAGGAAAAATGTCGAAAGAAAAAATATAGAAGAGGAAAAATGTCGAAAGAAAAAATGTAGAAGAGAAAAAATGTCAAAAAAATAATATCGACAGAAAAAATGGTTGATACATATTCTGAACAGTTGTGAATAGTAAAGAATATGTTTTATAAGATGAGTTAATGTTAATATTATAACAGTGACCACATATAGATAATGAAACAAATTCATTTATCATTTTTTCTGTTTAGCAACTATAAGTTGTTGTTTTATTCAATTTCAAAACATAATCATCTGCTACGAGTAAAGATTTTCCTTTATTTGGATTTATAAATGAAATACCTGGAGATATTGATCGAGCTACGTCAGTTGAAGATGTAGCAGTTTCGGTCATGACAATAGAATTTTAGTTATATAGTAGCTCTTCGTTTAACTCTTTTATTTAATTTATATCAAGTATTAGCCATCACAACTACAACTAATTAAACTTCTATACTAGTAGCATAATAAAAAAAAAATAACAATGAACTAGATGTGATTAGAGTCACCATTTACTAGAGACATCGTCTTTTTCGATATTTTGTTGTTACGATACTCTTTCATTTCAATATTTACTTTTCGACATTTCTCCTCTTCTATATTTTTTCTTTCGACATTTTTCCTTTCAATATTTTTCCAGCACACCTATTTTGTAGTAAACAATTCAATTTTGATGATAAGATGAAAATATAATTGTTTATTCTTTTCCGATTTAGAGTTTTTTGATAAGTTATATCAAAAAACTTGTTGGCGCAGCTCCTTCGGAGCTGAAATGTGAAATTCACATATTCCGTATAGATTAGCAGAGAATTTACTGTTAATTTTTAATGTAATTAAATGTATGCTTTACAGTTTGAGACAAATGAAGTGGAACAATAAAAGGTTAATATAGTAAAGAATTTGTTTGGTTATTTATAGTGATCAACATTAATGAGAAAATACCAAATTTTTTTTTTGTTTTTTTGGATTATTTCTAATATTATTAGAATTGGTATGATTTCTTAAAATTTAAAACTAAATACAACATTGATTACTTTATGATAGAGAACTTATTTTGTTTTATATTAAAACTAATGCTATTGTTTTTATGATATTATGAAGAAAAACAATATGCGACAATGCTTAGAATATAAGATGTGATAAATTATTCTAATAAGATTTGTGACGAATTAATTATAATAGGCACAGGTAGATATTTTAGTGCTAGATATCAGAAAAAAAGAATCGACATAATGAGATATATATAGATGAAAAAAATTATTCCATAAATTTATCAGCTAATCGGTATTATTACACTTGAGAAAGATATTATGAAAGAATATAACGAAATGTAGGGACGTCATTTATTTTTGCGACTCCATCAAATGGAGAAAATGAACGACTACTCGATTGTATATATATTTATGTATTGATAATATCTTAATGATGGTTATTTTGTTAGTGCTGTGTTAATGTGACAATAATCTTCGGTAATATAAGTACAGCAGTACTATACATTAAAATTAATTTCGATGTAAGTATTGATTATGTGGTTTTGCCATAGAAAAAACACGGAAATCTATTAAGATCATTTTGCATCACTGTATGGAAAAAGGCTATTGCATTTTTAGTTGATGGATTTTTATTTAGATAAATCATTGATATATTCTTGGGAAATTTCTTTACACTTTATACACGAGTTATGTATTTTTATCGAATTGAGGCATTTTATTTAATCTTTTTTAAATAAACAAATATGAGTTGTGATGCTTCTAATATGAGATTGAAACTTTGGTCTGAGTAAATAAATGTTATTCAATATTTAAGTACTTGTAGATGTATCTATATTGTAAACTAATGGTGAGAGGAAACAGTCATAAAAGTCAAATCGTAAATGAATATGATCTGATTGTAGAAGATATAGTATGAGAAGGTCTGAAGAATTTCTCGAATGCAGCTACACTGATTGATGATATGTTTCAAATATTAAATAATGGCATACATACAAAATTACAAGAAGATGTTCAACTCGTTATCTAACAAGTTTGTCATTGTCGTAATCAATATTTATATGTTATTAAAAAACAAAATACCATTTCCTTGAATATTTGTATAAATTGCAAGTTCAGCTACTGAATTTCTATAATTTTGATTAAGTATCTGTACTTGAGATTAGTTGCGATTGAGCATTGTCTGTGCAATACCCATGTATCAATCACAACATGTAATATTAGTAAAAGTTGACTTTGGTCTAAGTGACCACTACTAGAAACGACATACGTTCTTACAGTATTTAGAATGGTTGTTGTGTTATTAGTATTAAAAATCACACATATAATCTCACAGTGTTTGAAGTAAATTTTAATTTTGTCTCAAGAATTAATATTAGTTGATACATAGAAATTCTGAAACAAAGTTTCAGTGCAACAAAGACATTGCAAGTTATAGAAAAAAGAAAAAAATTCGAATTGACAATAATATGATTATCTAAATAGGAATAATTTTCAACTGTTACATGTGTTGTAATCTGTGGGTGACGCCTATCAGGTTACTCGTATAAATTTGCTAGAACATACGTAAAATGATACTAATAATGAAAATGAGAATAAGTTGAAAGAAAAAGCAACCTTTGTCAGGTGAAGAAATGCGTATATACTAGTTATCAAGTCATACAAAGTTTAATACAAATAATGAACACAAAACGATTTATCATTAAAACATTATTGGGTGTGGGCATTAATAAGGAGAACACCTACACACACCCACACTCTTGGCGACTTTAACAGCGATAGCCGACTGGATATAGTTGGTGCTAATGTTCTCGCTGCATCTGCTGGCGTCTTTTTACAAACGTGCTAGTTTTCTGGACCACAGACACGAATCATTCTGAAGAGTATATTTAATTCCTCGATCTGAACTCCTACTTCTTGTACATTGACTTTAGCGATTGATATTACAAAACCTTGTGTGTGTGCTTTCTAATAAAGATTACTAACTCATAGTTACATAGCTGATACGTTCCATGTTCTTTAGATAGACAACACTTATGAAAAATCTTTATGTCTAAATAAGCATAATAAGACTACAGATATACGATATCAGTTGTTGACACAAGTCATCGAACAAATAAATATGTCAATTCAAAAGTCAGTAGTCATTACTTTACATGTAGCTTTGAAATGTCTGCTAAGAGAACATAAAATCGACGGTATGATGGAAAAAGAAAGAAAAGAAAAATGTCGAAAAAAAAATATCGAAAAGAAGATTATCGAAGGGAGAAATATGGAACAGTGAAACGTCGACAGAAAAATCGTCGAATAGAAAAATATAGAACGAAAAAGATCGAAAAAGAAAAATGTCGAAAAAAAACATCGAAAAGGAAAAAGCTGTTAGCGCAATCCCTGCGGGATTAAAATGTGAAACACGATAAAGCTGTTGTTTTTTATCTCAAAAAGATAGTTTGAACTTTGTTTATTTTGGGACAGGTTTTGACCTAATTGTTTTAGCTTTGTGTTTATTCAGTACAATAAAGAAGTAGTATGTATATCATCAAGTGGCAACATTATTATTCAAACAGTTGATATATATTATGAGGTTACAATTAGTAGGTATAAAAAAATGCGAGGATTGAATCTTATATAGAAAATATAATTTGAACTTTGTATTTTGATTGGTATATTCAGATGAATCGTTTATTTATATTCAAATGAAAAAAGATACTGAGCAAAGGATTAAAAGGTCTAATTGTCTACTTTGCTCGTTTTTTTATTTTAAGATATTTACGTTGTTTTTATTAGATGTAAAACTGAAAGAAAAGTTATAAGCAGCAGAAATATTGATTTATTTGAACTTTGTTTCTAAAATAAACGTTCGCCGTATAATAAATTATTTGCATTGTTAAAAACAGAACATTTGCTTTGACTTGAACAGCAATGAAGTTATAAGTTCTTCGAATTAAAATGAGTTATACAACTTTAGTTTTGAACATTTTTATGATGTATTATTTAATTCATTTTGCATATTATTGATGACAATACTATTTATATGCTTATTTTGTGGATTGAAAATGACGCACACATTTTTTGAAGATAATGCAATTAAAACGTTTTCATCTTCAACCAAATTATCTTTAGAAAGCTCTTTATAATTGTATTGCTCTAATAGTTCTTGAACTTTTGATATATCAATAATAAGTTCAAATGTTTGTCGATTTAAATCAATAATGGTCAATTTAATTTGGCTTTGGTCAATATTTTCTTGTGAACATACTGTTCTTGATTTGCATGTAAAACATTTTATGGTTTTCTCATTTTTTTTTCAATTTCATTCGAATAACATTTCGGACAAGTAGGACGTTTTTCTATTAATCCAATTGACGAGATAGTACCTGTTATTGTTACTTCCTGTACCATATGATCAGAATTGGAAGAAGCAATATCGACAATATCTTCTATCGATTCGAACCTATCAGTAGAAGTAAATATAGTGATAGGTAACCGAGACAGAATGGAAATTTTGCTTTAATTTACTTGATTAGTAGAAATTTAGCTTAGAGACTTCATTGGTACGTCATTAAATACAGAATTTTTCACTTTACAAAACTAACTTATTGTAAATTAAACTAGTTGTTTTTTTCACAGAAAAACATTGAAAATCAAGACATACAAAAACGTGTATTATGATTGCATCAAGAGGAAATAGGTGACGCACAGATTTGGGAGCAATTGATATGTGATTGAAAGACCAAAAGTGTACAGATAGGTCAAAACATTCAAAGAATCAGATGGAATATATTTCAAAACGGCTACATATGAAAGCCGAAAGAAAGAAATAAAAATATTGTTTCCTTGACTAAATCATTAGCTTCTTGAGCGCAATCAGAAAAACTTAACTAGATTTTTGATTGAATTGCACGATGTTTTAAGATCGACTATGCGTAGAATTATTAAAACTTTTTGAGTATGTTTCCGAAATAATATAAACGATTTTGTAGAATGAGAAATTCACTATCGAATAATTTAAGAAGGGAGTGTCCGAATTATGTTTGAGTTTTTAAAGCTAGAAAATAAAGGTGTCTAGTTCCATGGGGGTCTTCGGTTGTTTCATAATGACGTATTTATATATAATATTCATAATATTTTAAGAGAAGAAGTAAAGAAAAGTCAACTATTTCAAAAGACATAATTATTTAATGGTATCTCATTCATATGACCCTACAATTTTTCCTAATAGATGTCAAAAAAAAAGATTATCCTACATGAGCATTGAAATATATCCAAAGTAGGATAAGATGATTCATAATAGAATGGATTAAACGACCAGAGGCGACAATATAAGAAAAACATAGTTGTACAATAGTATTTCAATGATTTTTCGATGATGTCTAACTTGAAAGGTCCATAAACAAAGTTGTTCCATTTAGATGAAGATAATACAAGACTGTTGCCATTTTCAACAATCATATACGGTGATTTTCGCATCTCAAGCAACAACTTTATTTGTTTATCAAGTAAAATAGTAGATTGCGAACAAAGGAATCGCATTAGATGATAATTACTAATAGTAAGAGCACATTCATTGGCTAATGTAAAACGAAATAGATCCATTCCAGTTAATTCTTGAGTCAGACGATCAATTATTTCATTTGGTAATGCACATAAAAATGGCATGTCCATAACAAAGCTATACAATAGTAAGAAATCAAGATAACAAAACAACAAAATTATGCAAATAATAGATGAAAAAAAGAAAAAGAGTATGTTTCAATTCTAATGAGCGCTCAAGTAATTTCGTATAATTAAATAGATAAATTTTTACATACACGTTGGATTTTGTCGACTCAAACTACTACTTCATACTACGAAAATCTTTGACAATATAGATAAAGTTTATGAAAAATGATAATTGTTTAATTTAGATACCTGTGAAAAATATGCATCACAGGAACTTGGAGAAGTTCGATTAAATTAAATAATTAAGTGACATATTTGGACAATATTATATACGCTAAACAAATAAAATCATTGCTCAACTTGTTTTTTTTTGCATTTGTTATAACGCAAACACTAATTGACAGACATTCATTTTCTTGCTAAACAATGTATTAGTATTACTTGAGATTCAGCCATTAAAAAAAATAAAGATGCATACAGTTCTATGTTTTATTTCAACATGTCATTTGAAATGAACACCCATAACTCTTCTTTTATACAATTGAGTTATGTAGTTAAGATTTGTATAAGAAAGAGGTTTTATTTATCAAATTAAAGTGTATTTCCATTTAGATGACTGTTATTATTTGTAAAGATGATAGTCTTATGTTAAGAGCCCATATAATATATACACCCGGTTAAAGTGTTATGAATATGGTTTGTGAATTCAAAGGTAGTGTGAATATATAGAATTTAAATATATAACGAAAGCTTTATAGAGTAACACTTTTCATGTAATATTTTCAACAGGAACAAATTAATATAGATTGTATCTTCTATCATTGAATTCGTCCCATTTTGAAAAGCTATTATTCTTGTTCGATAGGATATCTCAATTTCAGATTACGAAACAGCTTTAGCAAATTAAATTTGAGTAGATATAGGTACTTTTTCCCTTAAATAATATTCTTGAGGATGGGACTACGCTGATATAAGATGTAGCTGCTCTGATAAATGGGAATGGATCGAGATAGTTTTATTCTCTGACATAACCATAAAATATAATTAAATTTACTGCTCAGAAATTCTTTATATTTATTTTCAGTTTTGCTTATCGTATAAAAAATTAGAATTCAATCATATGGTCAGTACGGCTAATTCTGATATTACTCGAATTAGTTTTCTCTTTCATTTTAACAGTCGTAACAAAAAAAATTTCTTCTAATATTAAACAATTACTATGCACTGCCCATGAAATTTCTTGTATTAGTTGATAAAGATGCTAGATATATTCATGTGAGTTTTACAACATCATCTACCGGTTTAATCATTACAGCAATTTTAGATTTAAGATGCATGGGTAACTTCCTTTATATTATCTGTTATCACCACAAGAAATTTTATCTTCTGGATTCTATGCAAATAAACTTCTATTTTTGGTCGAAATTAATTTAGTAAGAATAATATGGAAACCAAAAATTATTTTCTTTATTCAGTTTCATAAAACCCAGGTAAAATTTCAAGATCAGCTGGTGCGTCAGGTAAAGCCCATAGTTTTGCTTCAATATTATCAGTTGAAAGCTGTTCATTAACATTATCTGGATCATGTTGCATAATGACGTAGATGGAACAATGAGACTCCAGAAGTGTTCTTAGAAAGTTCAATATGTTTTGACGATGAATAGGTTGATGATGCATTGAATCCTTTGAATCTATTTTAAAAAAATAATTTTTTGTCAACTGGAAACGACGAAGACAATAATAATAATGATAATCTTCTCGAATAAGCAAGGCTTGAATATTTTGACTATTAGACAGAATTAGATTCTGAATGGGACAAGTATTTGTTTCTAATTTGTGAATTTGTACAAGGTGAACATTTAATGTATGCTGAAGGGCAAGTTGTAGCACTTGAATATCATAATCTCCATGACCTTCATAATAGTCATCTGTAATTCGTATTGATTTTCCATTTCGACATATTTGTTCCGTAGCTGCTATGTTTTCAGCAATCTCCATCAAATATTCATCGCTAAATAGATCGAGTCGTTGTGCAAGTGCACGAAGAACATGTCTTCCACAATAATTCTTTTCGTGTTCCTCACAAATAATAATATTTTCAGGCTTTCTGAGAGACATAGTTGTTAATAAAGTTGAATGTTCACATTTTAATGCCTTAACATCACAACTTGACATTAGTTTATTACGTTTCTTTGATGGTGTTGATGAGACTTTGTCGACTTCAGATAAGTTCGGTAGACACCATTCAACATATCTCTATAAGAATATATGAAAATTTACGGATTTGAATAACAATAATTGGTACCTCAGTTCCCAAATACTGTTCAATTTTAATTGGAAACTCTTCTTCTATTTTGTTTAGACGAGACATTTCATTGAGTGCTGCTTTTGATACCTAGCAGATCAACATATATTGATGCATACTGCAATAATAAAAAAGTTACTTTGAATGACTTCCGGTCATATGCTAAGATAATAATATCACTCAATTTTCGAGTACGACTGAGAATTGTGTAAAACATGCCAGGCTTCCAGTTTAAACCAGTTAGATCAACAACTAGCTTATTGTAAGTCATACATTGTGAACGATGAACTGTTATCGCATAGCCAAGACTCAATGGATGTTGTCTTCGTGTCATCCAAATTCCATTTTTATCTTTAAAGCTCACTTCTTCTGAAATCATTTTATATATAGAACCATTATCCAATTCTTAAAAGAAAAGATAACTTTAAACTAGTTGAATTTTTTTATTTTGGGTTACCCAGTTCAACATATTTAGGCAATTTTGTAGTAAGTGCTTGATCTAGATTTGGGAACACACATCGGTTAGACATCGGTAAGACAATATCATTGATATTCTCCCAGACAATATCTTTTACAATTGCTTCGGTTCCGTTTACCATTGCACCATCGAAATCAATGTTACGTCAGCAAATTACACGTGCTCCTGTACAAAGTGGTAGTTGCTCAAACATAGATCCACACTCGTTTTCATCATCTGATGGTTTTAGATGAATTTTGCATTCCTTTTTACTTGCTTTCACTGGATTAAAAAATGATGATTGAGCTATTCCGACTTTCTAAAACTTAGGTATCAGAAGACGAGAATGTTGCTATAAATTTTCAACTAACATCGATAGATTGAATATAAGCCATATTGGTTTTTTAAGTTTCATAGCAATTTCTTTCAATTTAATAGAATTTCTCTCATTTGTTTTAGATCGTACACTATATGCATATACAGCATTAGCAAAATCAGTTGATTGCAATTCAGCTAATCGTTCTTTGTAATGTTCTGGATTATCTTCTTTTCGAATACTTCTACTTTTTATAACTTTTTCATCTTCTTCATTGTATTCTCCTGAAACGGATACTATTTTGATATTATTATTAAAAAACAAATATATACCTAATCTCATTTGATAAAGAATATCAAAAAACTGCCTATCTTCACCCTGTCTCATGTTGATATTGAAATTGATTGGTCTGAATAGATCAGACCAAAGAGAAAATGTTTAACCAGGAGCTTGCCAAAAAATTTGTTTTGCAGCAACTGGTTCACATTGAGCTAGATCACCAAATAATAAATATGGGATATTTCCAAAATAAACATTACTTTTGTCAGCCACTTCGAATATTTCATTTAAACGTTTGTTCATCTTTTGAAAAAGACTATGTGAGACGAGTGAGATTTCATCGATAATTATGAAAATTAAATCGTCAAGTCTGTTCCGAAGAGAATGTATTTTAAAGGATGGAGCATTATTTGGTGTTGATGTATTATCAGGACGCTAATTAATGATTAGATACTTATTTAGAATATGAAACAAACCGAAACATTACCATTCCTAAAGCAGCATGAATAGTCCAACCAAGAATATTTAATGCAGCTTTGCCAGTGTGAGCCATTTTGAGTAATCCTTTTCTTCTTCGTGGACGATTTCGAATAGCTGATTCACTAATACAAAAGTCAGATAACATTTGTTTGATAATAGAAATCACATAGGAGTTGCCGGAACCCGCTAAACCGTTTACCACTATGTGGAAGGGAAGTGGTTTCCATGCATATTTAAATCGATGTCGAGTCGCTTCATATCGCATTAATGTTGTAAGGTAATCCTTGAAAAAATTTGCTAAAAATCCCTGTTGTGAATTGGTTGACGTTAATAATTCTTCAGTTCTTGTAGAAGGAAAAACTATTTCAATATTTTTATCCAAATGTATATTTTCTGGATCTTCTCCATGTATATTATCATCAGCTGCATTTCTATTCGAATCCCTATCACTATTGACCGTATTACTCTCATTATTTTCTTCTTTATTATCATTCTTTTTTTGTTGTTCATCTTCGTCTTCATTGTTATCTTCATCTTCTTCTGTAAATATTAATGATGTTCTTGGTTTAATAACATAATCATGAACATTTAAATCACATAAATGATCAAGTGCATTAAGCATTTGTACTTTATAAGCATTTTGTAATGTCGAAAATCGTTGAATTAATTGCGTTTGATTCTTCAACTACAGTTCATGAATAGCTTTGATATCATTTTCTAGAATATCACCAAAACCCATCAAAATCTATTATTGATATTCACCAATCATACCCTGTTTATCATCAAGAAATTCTTCAACTGGATCTCAATAGGGTACTCCAATAGAAAGCATCGAATAAATGGCCAGCATTGAATCATCATAACGACAAGTGAAGCTAATACAAGCTGGTTCTTTATGTTGAATTAATATTGTGTTACATGATAAAACAATTCGAGGAAGTAAAGCAGATGTTTTAAGTAAAGGTGGTTGTGCGAAATCAGAACGCCAAAGAGGATTTTCAACAAGAGGTTCTTCCAAAATTTGTGCTAATTCCGTTGAAGTAGATCGATCGAAATCAAACCAAGTTAAAAATTCAAATAAAGTCATTTGATCAATAACAGACGGGGGG